GCAGATTTATGACGTTTAAAGTGTGGTATACTGAATTCATATCAATGCATACAGTATATTTTGGAATGTGTTTACTGCTTCCCAAGAATTAAATATACATAAATATCTGTAATGTGGGAAACTAAATAATTTAGTGTATGTAGTGCCACCTGCGGCATTCTACTATAACCATTTCCGGTTCCGGTTAGATTCTCGTGACTGAATATATTTTAGTATGCAGGTGAGTGCACTAGTTGGTTAACTCGTAAAATATGTTCTGGCATTGTATTTATTGTTTTGAAGTGTTACATATCATTTGTATTGTTTTAATAAACATTCTTTTTGTTCTAAGACATAAAGAACGTAACATTTAACTATACCGATATTCTTATGGTGTAAATGGAACTCATTACGTCACTCATCAATTACGGTAAAACTCCCTGCAATTATAATTACACATGTACAATGACGTCACATTTCTTTATCACTAACACGGCAAATGTCGGTAAGTCAGTATCACGCGATGCCCCAGCGCCATCTACGGCAAAGTGTCAAATCTATAGCGTCTAAACATAAACAAATATAAAACAAAATTCTGAACACTGCGTGATGATGAATACATCATGATTGAATAAAATGAGATATAACACAGAACTATAGGTATTTATTCGATGAAACAATAGCATCCTCTAATACGCATGCGCACTGATTGTGATACGCACTATAACAATCACTATACACTGTGGTACGATGTGTGTGTATTGTTTTGTTTTTGTCATCGAAGAATAATATGCGGTGCACTAAATATTCAATTTGGTCATCAGCATGCTTTATAAAACAACAACATTAAAGAATAGTTTTTTTTTCGTAAAATTATCGCTCAACATTGGAAGACACCTACAACTAGAGATGCAATGTTGCGTTGGTTTGTTAATGTTCATATTTATGTTTGCGAACAAATTACACATTGATTTGGTGTTAACATAAATGGCTACAGATGTGAATGGAAATTGCATTTAAAAAAAAAAAAAAAGAGATAAACAATGCCTTAATGTTTCACCGATCACGAAAACATTAAACGTGAAAAAAAAATATTATAATCTATGAAAATGGTACTGAAAGGGTTAATAGAAATAAAAGAAAATCATTTTTACTGAAAATATGAGCGTTCGTTTTTTTAATCATCTTTTGCGGGTATGTTCATTCAGACCCTCTGAAGCTGTGCATAACTTGTATTCATTTTTCACATTAAACAAATTAAACTAGAAAATACAGTGTCTTTGAATGAATAATATATTTAAATTGGCACAATTTGATTAATTTCGCACTATTGTCATTTATTCCAAATATTCACTTTGAAAAAGGTCTAACCACAGTCCCTCTATCTATCAGGTAGAGGGACTGTGGTCTAACCATGTTCACATCACAGAAATATCTTCGTTCGATGACTACATCTGGGATATACTAAAGTACTGTACCCAACCTAGGACTACATCCGGCCAAAGTCCCTCTACGCCCGGTTGGGAAATGCTATTGTCTAAAGGTGTGAATCACCGGCTGCTTTACAATGCGTGTTTCGCAATTTCTTGAGACACGATGACGTCATCGTACTATTGCTCTCTTATGTAGACGTCAGGCCGTACTCTCAGTATCTCTCGATTTGTTCGTATATTACGCATAATATCACAGGAGAAGATCGTCGAATTTCATTTACACGATTTGTTTAATCTTTCTACTGCTAGGTAAGTATTTTTGATTATGTCTACTTGTCTTATACCCAAGAAAATCTACGTTAATTTTGAGCCTGTGCTTTACTTTATCGTCACCTTTCGACACAATGTGAATGACGGTGAGCATCGTAACTTTTGGAACTTTTTACACCGTCCTCTTGTTCACTCCTGACTGATTCATTTGAAAATAATCAACGTATAATGGTCAACGACTCAGGCAATTACGCGTAATCGTATATGGGTGAAGAATTGTTAGTTACTAGTAATGAGAAACCCATTCATGTTTCAACTGTATTGTTTTCACTGAAAGAAACAAAATGGCGTTCCATTTAGTTAGTTACGATGTGTTTCATAGATGACGTTTGTTTTCAATACAGTACTCTCAGAAATTTTAGCCAAAACCTAGTACAATACAATCGTAAATTGAGGTTTTTTTTTATGTTTTTATTTCTATGTTTGTCGGTGTGATTTTATAACCCGGTAGAATATATAATTGTTAAATTCCAATGGTGCCAGGACGATCCGGCCCTGGTAAAAAAAGGACGATCCGGTCCTGGTTTGGAGGTTCCGGCCCAAGAACAGTTTGGTCAATCAAATCACAGTCCCTCAAATGAACACTCTTGTTTGATTAAATAATGACAGCTATTGTGTAAAGGTTGTAAATATGTTTCTCGTATTTTCACCGAACTATTTGATTGGTTATTTAGTCACAGCGTTACCTGGAAAAGAACATTGACTTTTTCAGAAAACAAAACAAACAAAAATGTGTTAATTGTCTGTGCTATTGTCCCTAAGAATCAAATACTATAGTAAACAACATGGCGGACTAAACTCTCCTCAACATCCAGGCGTCGATCAAAAAAAAGAGTAGATAACCGCCGTAATTCGCGACTCTATTGCAAATTTTGGATATCAACTAGTTTCATGACACTACCGTCGAGGGGTCGAAACGTCCATGGGTTCGGAAACGACCAGGGGTCAAATGGACCTGATCCCGATAATACGGCGTCGTCCTGTAAATACATACTGCTTTTTCGGAACTAGCCAGTTCACTTTGGAACCTTTTTATTCATATCATCTGGTATTGTATTATTGAAAGGTTCGTCAACATGAGAACTACTTCATCTAAGATTGTTTTATGTTTTCTTTGCCAAATTTTGCCCGTAAAATCAGTGAACCAAACTTGTCCATGATTATATGTACTAACACAGCCATATATCTGCTGTCTTCTTTCATTCAATAGGAAGTGTATCATTGCATGAATAAAATGCCGTTTCGTAAAAATAAATGGGAGCGTCCAAAGGGGTATTACAGAGATTTAATAGAAAAAAAGAAATTAAAACGTCAGTTTGCTGGGATTTCTACTGTTACAAAATATAAGATCCAGGTATGTTATTTATTTTTTTTGGATTTTTTAAGCAAGAATTTCGGTCTGGTTACAAGTTGTTATGACATTCTTATGGGTTTATTTTATTATTGATGCAAGAATTTCCAAACAGAGAATAATGTATACAAATATCATTATAAATCAAATTAATTTTTGAGGAAAAAATCTCATTCAAGATATATTTAAATTTTACATTTCAGGAGAGTGATGAGAACAGAGAACCAGTCCTGTTTAGCTTCAGCTATTTGCAGCAGCATGTCAATGACGTCACGTTACCATCTGGTTGGTCACTTCTGAGTTCTGCAACGGAATTTCGATTCAGTCAAATGGAATTTCATTGGCGATGTGTCAAAAATAGCGAGGTGTGTTATGGTAGGAGAAGACTTAAACTGACGTGTAAAAATTCATGGGAGATATATATTGAACAGTCATTACATTTTTAATAACATCCCACCAACAGTTACTGACTTTGAAGTGTTGAACAAACTTATCACAGTGATAAGTCAGTGTAATATATGTATGGGTAATACAGACCCAGCATTTATAGAGTTGCTGCAAAGTCGAGGTGGGGAGATTGTGAAGGCTTTTTCATTTTCTGGTGAAAAGGTGGTATCTGCCTATATATTTGAGGAAGATTTGAATGCCAAGGCCAAAGATGGGAAAATCTACCACTCAACTGTACGGACAGCTGATTGTCTACTCATTGCTGATAAAATAACATGTTCTAAGTGTTGCTCATATCGCAACAACCTCAGATCTTTGTTGTCAAGAAGAAAGACTCAAGACCAAGAACGTAAAATTCAAACAGAGAGTAGAGTTAATCTTCGATATCTTGACAAAGCACAGTTACAAGAAAGGGTTATAAATTTACAGAAAGAGAAGATCACACTGAAAAGGTCATTGGATAGAACTGTGAAGCGATTGATAAGTGATGATGGTGTTTTTGTTGAAAAAACATTGAAGAGTGATTGCAATTCAACAATGGAAGACTGTAGTGAAGCAGAGTTCTCCAACCTGATTTTGAGTACCGGTCGCTCATTAATATTCATAAGCTTAATTAATATTCATTTTGCCATCCTATTACTAGTAGTTACGATTTAGCATGGAGGCTCCATGGATTTAACTACTTTTATTTTAAATAATTCAAAGCAAAATTAATCTGCTTTGATGAAAGTAAAAAAATATATACACTTTATTTTCGCAATCACATCGAAAATACGTATGACATTGACCCATCTGGCAGCCATTTTTTTTTCAAAGCGTGTCGTCCGTTTGTTGCGGCCAAAGTGGAAACAAGAATGTAAAAAATCTGTTTTCTTTTCCAATGGAATGCTGAATGCTGGTAAATCACATTACCGGTAATAGTTAAAAAATAAGTATTCCTTGTATCGCAGATTAAATATAGCTCATGAATTTAATTTTATGAACGAGCCATGAAGCCCAAAAACATGAACGAAGCTTACTATAGTGCAAGTGTAGATTAAACAAACGACAACTGACGCACCCCTGACGGTGACGTGACCAAGTTTTTGTCCTACTCAACAAATCCTACACAGAATTAAACTGCAATAGTAAACATTCCTTCTGTTTACTTATTTATCACTGTCTTCCCTTCCATTATCTTGATGTTTGACTTAATAATATTCTTATCTATATCAATCGAAGAAGGTTAAAACAAAAACAGGCCGATGTCACGCGTGTACGTTGATTTTGAACAGCGGTGTCTTGTTTCATTAAAGTTTTGTTCTGTGTTAATTTTTGCATTGTTTTATTGTGTGTTAAAACCAACAAGGACAATAGAATGGTAGTACAGTGGCCGACATCCTGTGTTTATTATAAACAAATAGAGTAGTGTCGGTTGATAACTTCTTCTCCTGGTCGGAAATTCTGAGTCCAAGACGCGGCCGTCCGGAGTGGGGAGAACAATATGAAGTGACTAATGCTCAGTGTAGAGGGACTGTGATCCGGGTTACATTTCCAATAATCAGTTACTTGCAGGTTTCACTTCATCTGCAGTACACCAGGTGTCCCAGCTTGGCCCATAAGAATCGTAGCGAACTTTGCACACGGAAGTCATGATTTTGAGAACAGTGGCTTTCGTACCAGGTACCGCCCCATAACACCTGTAGTTTGTCGCCTTCGTTCACCTGTAAATACGTATGTGACCATGTGTTAAACGGAAGGTTCCTGGTGGGAGGGGAACAACCATTCCCTGTCCTGTCAATTTTAGCGGAATGTAAACATTTGAGCCACTTAGCCTCCTCAATGTCGATATTTTAAAGTGGGAGGGTTGTCACCTGCACAAGCGCGGAAATTGAGTTTCAAGCGACAATAACACACACGGCTAAAACGCATGGGTAGACGCTTGTTTGTAAACATTGACACGCTATGGCCATTTGACGCATGCGCAGGTGACGACTCCCCCGCTTTAACTGGTGATTCCCGGGATTGCAATATCATCATTACGAGCCCCCCCCCCCCCCGTTTGTTGTTATGTTCTTCACATGTGACCTCTAAAAGTCATACACCACGATACTGGACAGGAAGTGTTTTATAGGAGAAACCCGAGACAGAGTATACATTATGATGTTTACTTTAGTGGTTTCGTACTGCAATTGGGTTTCCAATCCAATCGCCAATATACCCCCACGTCTTTGATATACGACTGATAGTTGTCTTATGTCTTACTTATATATATATATATTATATAATATTAGAAATTAATATTTATTCATCATTCACTCTGATTGATGTGTCACTTTGAAGGTATATTACTGAAAGTTCGTTACATATCTTCCTTGTTGTGCAATAACGTTCACTGACCTCGTTCTCGCTTTTAATCGCGATTCCATTGCTGCGCTTACACACTGACAGATCTACACTCTCGTCATAGGAGTTGTTCCAACCATTGTAGTGTATCTGTTATGCAATGTAGAACGAAAGGGGTTATTAAGATTGCGAATATACAATATAAGCCATACCATACACCATCTTTAAATCGCACCCTCTAGTGACAAGATATTTCAGTGATGTCAAAATGACGCACATGGAAGAAGTCAATGTCGTTCAACCTGACAAATGTGTTAGGTTTTGTAGTTTTCTGAAATTAGGTAAAATATCTCAAAAAAACAATGTTCATTGACAGATAAAAACGATATCGACGCACTGAACGCTCTTAGTGTCATCAATTTGCGTCATGGAAAAGCTTCGTCAATAGAGGGCGCGAAAAAAGATGTGTTCGCATAGCTCGGCTACTGCACAGTCAGTGATTCACAGTCTCACGCTAACTGGCCGAGATCAACGTGGGCTAGTGTAGATACTGTGTATCTATAATAAAAAACCAGAAGAATAAAGCTTAGTCCCTCTTATCGACTGAGGATTATGGTACAGGTACTCGTATTATTTAGATAACACACACTGCCATGTCTGCAGCTAAAACGTTATTCACCATTTACAATAAATCATTAAAACTATTCTAATATACTCAGAAATGCCTAAAGTTATCAGACAACATTAAAAATAATTACATGTTTCAATCAATATTGGACAGGCGGTATGTTGGGCAACCACTAAGATCATGGATTATGTCATTTCATTCGGTATTTACTGGTATGTCTGTTTTTGTGTTGGTTAAAAAGAAGCAAAATCTCTACACAATTCCTTTATACGGTGTTCTACTTATACGCAGAGCTGCATTCGTTATTTATGCATACTGTGTGACGTCATAAATGTTTCAAGAAAAAAAAACTCAATACTTATCATGATTGATCAGCTTACGCGGCGAATTACCAATCATCACGCGATCTTCAATGTCTACATTTTTATTCATATTTATTCATCAAATCTACTGAGAGACATTACTAGCACCGTATCTGGACACTATGTGGCATAGATTCTAGGCCAGCATCCCGTGTCAAACCAACCCACAAATACGTGAATGTAAGCGTACATTTACCTTGAATGAAACGTGTGGTCCTTCTTCCAGTACATATCCAGTATACCACGAATTAGCCCAACAAATCTTAACCCTGTCGTTAACTTTATAGACGTATTTAGATCCCACACTGGCGGTCGAGTCGGGTGCACGTGTCTTCCTTATTTCATCAGGTAGTACCCACGTGTCCCATTCTGAACCGTAACCATCGTATCGTATCTGGCATACTGCGAGTAATATATCTACAATCGACGCGTCATACCAGGTACTTCCTGACCTCACCTCCAGTTTATCGCCGACTTTCACCTGAGAATACAAACATAGCGCATTGATTGACTGGTATAATATTTGGTATAATAGGTTATTACGTACGTATCGGGGCGAATGTCGAGGGGGTATTTACAGTCATGCGGCTTTAGCTCGACAATGTACTATATCAGTTGGAACTAACATAAACACAGTGCTATTAGTTGTTTGCAAATTATTAGTGGATGGCGATGGTGGTCGAGATGACGCGTGCGACATTTGCGACATTTGTGTTTATAAACATTGATTTTCCCATAGTTCAATGCGCTCTTCTGCGGAAATCAGATTACGAGTTTTGAATCCTTCGAAACCTACCAATCATCAAAAAAAAATATCTAGTTGAAGTTTGGTAACGTCTTAGTTTGTACTCGTCAGTCTGCGCTCATAGTCAAAGTCCCCTTCTTTGTTCATATGAGACACATATCTTGCGCATGCGTGGCGCGACGACCACCGCCATTTGCCTGCATCGAGAAATACACAGCTAACGTGTAATGACGTTTTTATGAGGGCGAATCCATACATAGCTTACACACAAATCGAGATTTGTATTCGTTTTCTAATTAAAAGCAGAACAAAATTTCAGAGGTAGTATTCACCCTTAGTGCGACATATTGTTCGCAGTACACATCGCGTGGAGCCACAGAACGACTCATATATAAGTACATTGCATAATCTGCTCATCAAAAAAAGTTACAAATTCTATCAAACAGTTTTCCCAAATTGGGTTATTATTCATACAAATCATTATACTTACCTTTTCTGGGTTTTTAATTTTTGACTTATCTTTCCATCTGCAATCGTCTACATCAACCTTTTCATCGCTAGAACTGTCATAGCCATCATAGTTGATCTGGCAAGTTGTAAAAATCAATGGAATTTACGATAAATTGAATGAAACCATCTTGTAAGAAGGACAAAAACGCTCATATTTTATCTGATGTAGGTAAACCTTGACTCCAACGGAAATCATGAACCACCTTTTACCTTAAATGCATATCTAGGTCCTGTTTGTACAACTACCGATGGGAACCATGACGACGACCAGTACACTTCACAAGCATCGCCCTTTTTATACTTGGAGGCCGCGGCAATGGCTGAAATGAGAGACGTACGTTACAGTTTGTTTCAGATAGTTTTACAGCTGAGGACGTAAGAGTGTGTCATTTACATGCACGCGTACAGTTTGTTTCAGATAGTTTTACAGCTGAGGACGTAAGAGTGTGGCATTTACATGCACGCCGCAACGGAGATGCGGGTAATATACGAGTTACCAAATGAAAAAAATAAAGTGGACGAGACATTTGAAACAGTATGACGGGAAACAATGGATGAAATATGAAATCTCAGTGGCTATATGTGTCTAAGGTATGTTGACAAGGATGAGTCACCAAATTATGTTGTAATACCTTCCTTTGTAGAGGGAGTTTTAGGAACTGTCACGGTATGTGTGGTGGTTGCGGCGAGTTTGTCTTTTCTGGTTGCAGCCTCTCTTTTACTTGTCCCAGCGCTGTCAGCCGGCATGGACTTGCCCATTTGAGACGGCGTACTACACCTGGCTGTTATGTTTAGTGGAAGCATCCCCATTGCTTCGTCTCGGTTGCGCAGAATCTTGGTAGCTACGAACGGCCTGATTTTGAAATCCTCGCCGATTAATTCCTCTTTCGAAAGTTCTGACAAATCTTTACCAGTGACGCAATTGTCTTTGAATATGTTCACAGTGACGGTGTCGATTTTGAGATGGCGCAGCCATTTTGCCAGGTCGTCGACGTCATATTCAAGAAATGCTGGAAGATCAAGATGGTAAAAATGCATTTTACTAAACATTTGGAGGGCGTCCTATTTTATTTTCGAACACTATCTTAAATTTAACATAATACCCAATACAAGCGGACCTGAATGTGTGATATTGAAAGTTTTTCGGGCCATGTATTATTATTATTTAAAATAAATTTTCATAAATTATAAAATATCAACAGTACGGAGAAGGGTATTACCTAATTGGGGCTCTCGATATTTCGCCTTCTCCTTTATTCCATTCAAAGCCAGCTCAGCGTCCAGTGCTTCGATCTTTTCAGTAAACTCATTTTTATTGGAAAAATCAAAATATAATCGACTTCCAACTATGGGACCAACCCAGCCATCTACAAATAAAAATAGTTGAAACATCCAACAACAAAAATAAAATAAAATTATAACTTGAATAATAAATACTCCATGACGCATAACTTTATAGTATACTGCACATACTTACCAAATTTACATCCGGGTTCTAGTCTCAGCGGTACTATGGGTTTACGTAAGGAATCTGCATATCCTGCTTCCTTCTCACAGTTAAATGATTTTTTATATGATTGCGTCACACACATCAGCATAGCGCATGCGCCCTCTACACCTTCTGCCATTGCTCGGTTTATATTTCCTACATGGGGATATACAGTTGTATTTTAGTTTTCGTAGGAATTTTAGAAAGACAACTATGTGGATGAATTTGGGTATTTGTTGCAATAATAATTAGTATAGCATTAACAATTATATACGCCACAATGTGATCTAACATATGACCCTGTTTTTAGTGTTTACTGTGTTTAAGTTATTCAACCAATGAAGAAAACATTTCAGAGATAAACATGATATTTCTGGTTACCGGATACTACATGATGTATTAGATAAATAAACTCAAATCAGATCACATATTTTGTTTCCCTAAGTTAAAATCAAAGACAGATTTTGGCGATCAGATTAAATAAAAAGTCGTTCTTATAGCTAATTTTCAAATATAAAGTTGTATTATAGAAAACAAAAACATAGTATTTCTGATTTGATCTGATCTTAGTATACCAAGTACGTACCAATAATGCACAGAACATGTGTTGTTTGTTGGACCCAGTAGCATACGCACTTGAAATTCCAGGTACGTACCAGTAATGCACAGCGCATTTGCTATTTGTTGGATCCAGTAGCATACGCATTTGGAATACCAAGTACGTACCAGTAATGCACAGCGCATGTGCTGATAAGCTTGTTGGATTCAGTATCATATGCACTTGGAAGTCCAAGTACGTACCAGTAATACACAGCGCATGGGCTGCTTGTTGTTCATATAGTTGATTGTGCCATAGAGCGCCGAACTTTATATTTGGGGTCAAGATAACGTATTTGGATATAAATTATAAATAAAATAAATTATTATAAAAACAATAACACATCAAATATTCATAGTTATTCGTATCGTCCCTATAGGACACAAGTGAACATTGGTTGTATCGTAATTGTATGACGTCAGCATCCGGGTACTATACCTGACATGTTATCCAGGTCAATCCACGTCTTGTAACCTTTCTTTTCAAGTTCAACTTTGATCCGCATTGCTAATGGTTGGTGGTCCCAGTTATAAGATATCATAACGTGCATTTCATCGGAATCCGTCATCTTGCTAAAATAATATCAACATATAACATCGTTTGTATTCATCATTCATTATATCAACGTGTTCGGCCTGACTGACTCGTAAATAATATGGTACCTGACCCCGACCCATGGGACTTCAACTTGAATTCATGTATGAGCCACCGTCATGACCAAATTGAATCTTTTTTTGAGCTAAAATTATCCGGAAAAAGGGGGCTTTGGTCGGTTAAAAGGGAAATTTCATTGTTTTATGTGATACATTTCTTTAAAACTGAACGAATTTGTATAATATCTGGTTCTGACGCGAAATTTCGTGTTGGACCAAGATTTTAAAAAGTAAGAATTATCATATACAAAAATGAAATTTACACGGCTGGGCCAGTCTAATGACTGATATCCATTGTTATTAGTACGTCACTATATTTAGATTTTTTATTGTGAATCAGTCAACACGGGGTTGTTTGGTCACTTTCTCTGAGTGTTTTTTTTTTTTTTTTGCCAAGAAACACATGAACATTTTGTATTGCGTTGTCGTCGTCATGTCACACAAGGCACGCAATGCCACTATGCGCTAACTGCGCATTAAGAATCCCACTTTACTTATACACATTCTAATAGTTTCCATTGCAGATAAGACCAACCATTAAAAAAGTTTGTGATAGAAGCAAATTAACAATAGATATATAAATGTGTATATCATTAATTTCGTTTAATTTTCCATAGGTTACTATTACAGCAAGTATTTGTTACTTAAAGCTGAAAAAAGGACGTTCGACCTATTTACATTGTCGTCGCACATTCTTTGTTTTGTTATGACCTACATCGAGGTCACCATTTAAAACCAGTTATAACGTCTATTCATCGGACCGACATGCATTCCAGTTTGTATATGATTCTTCGTAAAGCGACAGCCTTTTCGATCAGTACCCTTCGCGTAGTTGACTACCAACTTCCTTTCTGTGCTTTCACATGGATAGTGGTACAGACCAATCCCAAAGTGACTGCTCTCAGTGAACGCACATAAGTAACACTTTTAGTTTACCTTGACATTTATGACCACAACACGGTAGCCAGAAGCACATATACAATTACATTGTAGACTCGGGTACTTCTTACAATATACTGCTCAAATGCTACCTGGGTTTATATTTTCGATGAGCGCTAATTACGCTAAATTAAAACCCAGTGAGTATGCAAATTTTATAATATAAAAATGTTTGATTCATAAACCAGTGGATTTAAAAACAAGTTAATATCACAGCAACACCAAATCCGCTGAAATTAAACGCAGCGACTATCTGTCTCTACAAGTACTATAAGTACATGTTTGACATGGATTAACACGTAATACGACAACTCTTGGTAAATGTCTAGCTAGTACGTTGTTCTTATGTTTTGAAAATACTTTAGTTCTTTTCACGTAGCGTACGACCACCGCAGTATGTTATACTATAGTCGTCTGGGATCATAGTGAACATGGCCGATACAACTGACGTGACGTGGTAAACCAACATCGAGTTGGGTCTATTGAATTACTAATATTAATCATTCGTCAATAATATTGATTGAATAGAGAATACGTTATGCCACAGTCGCCCTCCACATTGTGGGACTGTGGTTATGCACGCAATACGCACTCACAGCAGTCGTAAAAGTGAAAGTATATCATAGAGTCGACGAAACGCCACATACCCACCTTATTCACCCTTGCCCTGTCACTTGTGGATATGTAATCACGTGTTAACAATAATTGTAGTATAATTTGCAGAGCTACTGTGAAAACAAATGTCGCGTCTCGATTATATAATAAGGTAGAGGTAGTCGCAGACCTTAGCAAAAAACAAGATGGCGCAGTTACCCTGGCAACATATATCGCAATCACGTGACGATATCAGTTGTCCCAGATTCATGAATGATTGCGGAGACTGCGTTCAGTCCGGTCATGCCGTGCATGACGTGTACTCTCAGGCGGCCACTCCGGTAGCAGACTCCGAATCTCAGTGGTGCCTCCAACAGTGGTACCACAACAAGGTACAACGAAAGATTTACACAACAATCAGTTTGCAAAATTGACAATAAAGTAACTGGGTAAAATAACATAAACCGTTCTATACACCGTGACTCTGATTACCCCCACCCGCCCTTTCTTCGTTTTTTTTTTAAGTCGACACTGCGGAGACACTATTGCATATTTCTATTAACAAAGTTAGGTACTCTTAATACACCGCTTGAACTTTGGAATAAGAGCTGTATGGAATGCTAAATTGTTCGAGTTAATTTAAATAAAAAAAGAAACCCACTTCTTATTTTAAAGGGGGGAGCCAACACTTCTACGGGGGTGGTGCAGGTTAACATTTTCGGGCATATTCTGTAATTATGTTTTAAGTATGGGGCGGCTTTTTCACAACACAACTCACTAACTATATTATGTGAGTCACGGTTACCAGCTGAACGATTCTTATATATTACAGTCCAGGCATTATGCACCTTCTATATTTCCACGAAAGTGAAGTTCTTCATATCATTCACCACCCAAAGGTCATGAAAAAAACCTTTATAAACCAGAGGTTGAGCACAATCTAACGGCGGTGTAACACTCTGTACAGATCTGTGATTGTGTGGGTGCTCGTTATTACAGGGCCGTCAATTCTCAATGTAAATACACGGGCTAACAGCATTGTAGTAATTACTGATGTCACATTTGCACGCATGTGTGCACGGACACGCTAAATTACCATTTATGGGACTTTGTAGTCAATTTCCTCTCAGGCTGTTGCCCTGGGATAACTTGTATTATCAGAGGTACATTACTTGGGGTTTGCAACTCGCATAGTACTGTATGGTGACATCATGTGTCAAGATCCCATTCAAGTCTCTTCTCGTAGATAGCGAGACTGAGGCTACGACCTTCTGACATGACACATATCAATGTTCAAGGTTTGTAATGAAAAAATAAAACTTTTCTTGTCACTATCATAGTGAAAAATGTAATACATCGAAAATGTACAGAAAATATAGTTCTCGTAATCCGTCATATCGTGGGCAGCTATTTTGGTCCACCTGGACATCCCAGTATCCTAGTTACCTCGGGCATGCGCATTCGCATTTGCATTTTTTTGAGTTGGAACGCTTATGCGAGAGCGAGATTGTGACGGGATCTTGGTATCATGTCACCGTAGTTACAAACCCCAAGTAATGTACCTCTGGTATTATTTATAAATATGCAGCACCCATTTTTGGTTACAATCAGGAAATTTGAGAAAATTTTCAACAGAAACCCAGCCCGTATTAATATACACTAGCTCAAAATCATGGTACAATGGGGTAAGTAGGTAGTAAGTAGGTGAGTAATGGGATAAGTAGGTAAGTTTCCACGGCCGCACTACCCTTCCCGCGGAATATATTGATGGGGACATTACATTGAAGACAGCCGTATTGCATTTTAACCTTCGCTTAGGGGTGCAACCAACCCACGCTCTCGTTATGCGCTTGTACTTCCGGAGTTTAGGCAGAATGGTAAGTGTGCTCTTTTCTAAATTTCTGTATTTCTGTGAGTAATGTGGGCAAAATTTCCCGCACCAATATATCTCCGGGCACGGGTTTTCGACTAACGTTGTCGAGGAAGCTTCTACCCAGTTGTATCCGTGCACACTGGCGGCTGTCACGTCACGTATGCGGCGTAAACTGGGTCGGGTTCCTTTACTAAATAATACGGCTCACGCGTTCAAATACGTATTAATCAAGTACGTGTGCAATCATCCCCAAAACAGCCATTGACGGCTATACTATTATGTTATTTTACCCTCTGGACTGGAAATACTTCCATATGCGTTCACTAGTAGTACCCGTAAGGCAGTAGTCATATTTGCAATGAACCCCAGACTAATTATATATTCAGTCGGAGTACTACGAACGCAACACGTGAT